CCCTCCCTCCCTCCCTCCCTCTCTCTCTCTCTCTCTGTGTGTGCATGCATGCATGCATGTATGTATGTAGATCTTAATGACAAGATCAAAGTGCCTAAGCTGGGTCTGGTTGACTGCCTTACTACTAATTTAGAGTTGAGGGTTTTTCCCCCCCTAAACTATGTAAGGTAATTAGTTATTTGGGACTATTGATACAATTTTCTCTTATATTATCCTTTATCAGTCTATTATCAGGTCTCTCAGTCAGTTTAGCTGGGAGCCCTGTCATTACTCTTATGTGGTATTTTAATAAAGAAACACTATTTTGGATCTTAATTGCTTTGGTTCATGTTATATAGAATGTTGCTATTTTCCCCCCCATTGACCCTTCTCTCTCCTTTTTGATGAAGTATATAATTTTAATGGTGCTGATTAGGTCTTTTGTCTCAAAATTGATTGTTTCAATAGATTTTTCTTTTAATTGTTACTTTCAATACTATGTTGACTGGTGGAACAAACATTTTCTCTTCAATGCCCAGTCAACCAAGTCAATACACCTAAAATATTTGATGGGATGAAGAGAGCAAGTACACTGGTTAGAAGTGATTTATTATGCTTCTTGCAGTCCATTCCTGAAGAACTACAAAATGGGGAAGGATTTGGATACCTTATTATGTTTCGGCCCTTCAGCTCCTTCAGCTGGACTAAAGCAGTGGTGAATTCAGTGGAGGCATCAAAATATATCTACAGAAATGAAAGCATCCCATCATTATTTCCCTTTGAAGTAAAAGTGGGTGTCTTTAATCATGAAGGAATAGGCACCCTGAGCCCAGTATTTATTGTGTATTCTGGAGAGGATGGTAAGTAAAGTAGTACATATCTCATATTTCTATCTCTTTCTGTCAATATGAAAAAGAATTTGGGAACCCATCTGAAATGCTCTCAGCGATGTAGCTGATGCAATATGTGCATGATGCTGCAGTGGTTTAATACTTAATACAAAGGAAGTCTTTATAAAATCATAAATCTTACGGATGAGAGTATAAATCTTATTATTTCAAGAGATCTATGATGAAGTTTCTTCTATCTTTCAGTTTAACAACTATGTATCTATGTTCCCAATATTGTAGGAATAGTCTGTTAAAAATTAAGTAACAAGGTTTGCTGTGCCTCTACTTTTTCCCAGAGCCTCAGATAGCACCGACAGGCATGTCAGTACAAAGCTTCTCATCTTCTGAAATGGAAGTCTCTTGGAACCCTCTTGTATGGACCAGACAAACTGGAAGGATTCTTGGCTATGAGGTGTTGTTGTTGAAAACCTATTAAATATTCTCAGCCAAAATATATGCTTCCCATCTGTACCCATCTGCTGTTTTCTCTAAAATAACCTTGTCTGTTCACTAATTTCACATGTGTCTTTGTTCTTGCTCTAGTGTGATATTTCTAGTGTCGGTTTCACTTTTGACAACTAATCCTTTTTTCAGCTTAAGTAGTTTCCATCTCATTATCTTGTTATAGGTAGAATACTACTTAAAAAATTATATCACTTTTTTTGCAAAAAGGAAGGGAGAGAGAGAGGGAAGGAGGAAGGGAGGAAGGGAGGAAGGGAGGGGGGTATTGGTTTCTTGTATGCCAAAAACCAAAAACCAAAGGCTGGAAGTTTACATAGATCATATGTAGAATGTTGATTAAAGATAATGTGAATATGCCCATACCAAATTCATGGATGAATCATTATACAACTGATTAAGGAGGCAAAATAACAAGACTGCAAATGTAGGTGGCATTCAAAGTGTGAAAACATATTCCTTGAAATATAGCATAGTACTCTCTTACATATGAGAAATGCCAAGATTATAACTGTTAGATTAACAAATTGACCCTTACTTAACGGGAAGGAGGACAGGTAAGGAAGTAGTAACTCTGAATCTGCTACATCTCACTAAAGGCATAGTTTCTGTAGATACCTAGGGTCAATGGCAGCCAGAAAAAATCATTTTCTGTTATTTTCTTCAGCCACAATGAACTTCTATTTCAGGGTCAAGAAGTCGGGTGAAACCTCAGTTGTATTTTGAGATCATTTTATGTCTCTGAGGATTTTTTCCTCTAGTCTTTATTTTTAGTTCTTCAAAGATTGGTGTTCTGCCAAGTTGGCTGCTACCTCCTACTTTGTGTGAGTAATCCACACTTGGAAAACAACCTTGTTGTTAGAATAGCTAATGTAGTTCATAGATTATCAGCTAATCCTCATCAAACATTTGTTAGAACTCAGAAAAGATCTAAGTCAGTAACTATTTAATTATAACTGCCTAGTTAAAAACAATTTTACATTTGGAGATCTAAAAAAGAGGGGAAATGAAGTAGTGTGCTTACATATAATTTATACTTAATATGTGACATGTGATGTTTTATAAAATTATTTGTTTCTTCTGAAACTTTATTTTTGTCAACTTTGTTGTCATAATTGAGGGAGAAAAATTCTGCTTTTGTTATTAAACTTTAGGTCTTATATTGGATGGACGATTCCAGAGATTCAGCAACTGGGAAAATAAGAGTCAATGGCAATGTAACAGCAAAAAACATTACCAGTCTTAAGGCCAATACCATGTACTTTGCCACAGTGAGGGCTTACAACACAGCTGGAACTGGTCCATCCAGTGTTCCGGTGAATGTAACTACAAAAAAATCACGTGAGTATCTTCAGTTACTAATGAATGAACGGCACAAGTTCACTTGACTCACCAAGAACCCTTGCCATCTAGTACAACAACCAAAACATTATTTGAAAAACAAGCTATAACATGGATTCCTAATTACAATAAATGACTAAAATCAAAAGTAGCTTTTGTGTGTGTGTGTGTTGGTCAATTATTTTTTAAGGAAACCTTCCTGTCTGCTCTATTTATCTTTGTCTTGAGCATCTATTTCTTGAGCACAAGTTTACAATAGGACAGTATAGTATCCCTGGGGAAAGGCAAATTATGAAACTAACAGTATGACATCATAATACTAGCTCCACCCATTTTCATATTTATATTATGATGCATGGAAGACAGACAGACAGACAGACAAAGGGAGTGAGGGTGGAGCTTGCACATTTCTTCATTGTGACCAAGACCATTAGATTCTGCAATTGCCTTGGTTGCACATTTTCTAATTCATATAAAACAAAATAAATCAACATCTTAGTGTTTATATTCACACTTAGTTCCATGCACTGTATAATTTAGGGGGGAAAATAACAATTGTAAACAAATGCTTTTTCAAAAAAAGGGAAATAGTCCTTTTGCCAGATTGAAGGCTTGATCACATTTACAGCTGGAATTTCTAGCAACCTTGAATTTAAAAGTGTGTTTCCAACATTTGAAATTTCAGCATCTTACAATAATAAGAAAAAGAAGCAGAGCTTTGGCCTTTGGGCATGCACTTATTTTATTATTGATAAACAGGAGAAAATGACTGTTGCTATTTCATTATAAGCAAGTATAAGAAATTCACCATCTATGAAGGAATTAGGTGTGCGCAAATGCATTCATTTCAGCTGGCTTTGGGGCATTATTTGCCAGACTCTTTTAAAGCATTAATGAATTCATATTGGTTTTCACTGGCATAACATGAGCCTTCAAAATCTCTATGTTTTACCTTGGATAGGGCAGCTCTTCCCCATTCAAGGCTGGTAGAAAATATGGAGGGCTTTTTTTTCTGAACTCACAGCTCTGCTTGATAAGCAGCTGGCAGCCCTGACCAGGAAGACCTTCTCACAGTTTCATCTGGTGTACCACTTCAACCCTTTCCTGGGGGCTATTTAGGCAGTAATTCATGCCATGATCATTTCAAGGTTTGACTCCTACCACATGCTGTACATGGGGCTGCCCTTGAAGACCATTGAGAAGATTCAACAGGTCCAGGATGCAGCATTATGCCGGTGATGGAGATGCTTTGATATGTTCAGTTAACAAACTGAATGGGTTATCAGTTTGCTTCTGGATGTGGTTCAACTCAAGATATTGTTTGCTGCCAAAAAAGCCATACATAGGTCCTAGTTATTTGAGTGACCACCTGTCTCCAATAGCATTTGCCCGGCCACTTAGCTCTTGTGGGATTGGCATGCTCCAAATTCTTTTTATTAAATAGGTCATCTTTCGAGACATTCAGAAATGCACCTTCTCTGCAACATTGTCTACCTTCTGCAGTGAGATTGTCCCTGCAATTGAAATATACCCTCACCCTACTGTCCCTAAAGACATGGCTTTTTACCAAATCGTTTGGTGAGGATGATTGATGCTCCCTTTGCTTCTTTGTTCCCAACTGGGTTTGTTTTCTCTGCCATCTTTGTTTCTTTTGTTCTTTGTTGTTTTTTGTGTTTTGGGATGTTTCTTCATTTCCAAATATTTTAAAGAATTTGTAGAGTGCCCAAAATCACTGGGAGTTGAGCAGAAAATTTATTATTTTAATTTATTAAAAAATATGAAATCACAGCTGCCAATTCTTTAGCTGGTGTTGGCCTTAATATGCACTGACTTCTTCCTAAGAGCCTGGATGTCACAATGTATTGGAGTAGTATATATGTGTATTTTTGTAATCAACAGGTGGAAATTTATGAATATCCACCTTTTTTTAATATGATACCCAGCCTGTAATCACTGGGATCACCACAACTGGTTTATGCCACAATCTTTCAATTCTGATTTTCAAATCTTGTTACTTTATGATCCTCTCCAATTCTTTGTCCTCTAACAATCTCCTGGTATTGTAACATCAATCAGCCACACTTTTTTTTTCTTTTTAACTGCAGTTAAATTTGATGGGTTATAAGCCAAGACTTTATCAGTTTGTATTTAGAAATTCCACGATGTTTTAACCTTGTCATTTCAATTATTTTATCTATATTCATACCAATTTATCATTACTGGCCCATGATAATTTTTACAGATGTTCCACTGAATCATTTTAGCAACTGTGTCATGTGCTATTCATAAACAATATGTGATCTACTGCTTTTTCTGGTTCTTTGCACAATCTTTACCTTGAATCATGTATGATTTTTCAATTCTAGCCTTAATTGCATTAGTTTGAATAGCTAGCTGCTTTTGTTTTTAATGTTCCAGTTGCAAGTCACTGCTAGGTTTTATCTTTATCCACTTTCCTCTGGATCTTTTGCAGAAATCAACCATGTAATGCTTTTCCTTGCCAGCATTCTGTTCTTGTTTTTATTTCATTATTTCAATATTTACATTTTGTTTCCTGCACATATAGTAAGTTCAAATTTTTCATTTGCATCAATGCTTGTTCTTGGCTGTCTGTTACATATTCAGCCAATGCATGTTTTTCTTCTTCCATAGTTTGCTTGACCTAAAGTTAATTTCTGTCTCCCTTTTTGTGGAGAAAGTATAGTCTATCAATATCATTACATGGATTAAATGAATAATGAATAGTCATCAGTTTTCTTGTTTTTTGGTCCAATGTTCAGTTCAGCTTGCATCCAGTTAATAATATACTTTCCTGAAAAGGGGATAGAAAGATATTCAGGCTGGCCTCTCCATGGTTCCATGACTGGAATAGGAAAGGGAGGGGAAACAAATTTAACTAGTTCTATTAATTCTATTATTTCCTAGTGAGAACAATGTCAAAGGTCTTGAAACTAAAATGTACTCATGTGTAACAAAAATCACATTAAAACTGGACTGGGATATTTTGTGAAAAATTTAAACAGAAGAAATGTGATGACCCGGGGTTGGGCATGGAAGCAACACAGCCAGAATAAAGGCTTAACTCCCCTTCATTGCTCCAACTTTCCCCAAAAGTCCCACCATTCACTGAAAGTCCAGGGGCCAAGGTATAAACATTAGTTACTGGCTGCTATTAGTCCAGAGGAGTAGTACAATTGTGAGAGCAGCCACAGTTCAGGAAATTTGGTTCCAATGAGTTTTCGCCATAGGAAGAGTTCACTGGAACTGCAACACAACCCGGTGCAGAACTGGGTCACTACGAACTCGCACATAGCCGGCCAGGCAAGCAAGGCAAGCAATGCAAGCAGAGCAAGGCAAACAGGGCAAGGCAAGCAATGTATCCAGATGTCAGTAACAGCATGTGAGACTGGAAAAAGGCAACACTTGTTTCTGACAAGTGCCCTTCCAATGGCACCTCTTTAAATCTCATTCCCCAAGTGAGCTTTGGGATCAGGGGTGGGGTGCCCTTCTCTGGTCATTGGATCGCCCTTTGCTGATCCTGTCTCCTCTCCATTCTCTGTGCTTAGGGATCAGGGGGAAAAGTAATTGCTCATTGCTCTATTGCTTCTCTGCTCCACTGCCTGCACTCTCCTCCCTCCCTTGCTTGGTCATCCTACACCCTCTCTCCTTTGCTGGCGACCCTTCCCAGGCCTGAGGGACCTGGGACTGCTTAGTTCTGCTCATCCGGTCATTCCTCCATTGGCCCTAGCTCCGTCTCATCCTCAGACCCAAGCTCCAATTGGGCCATGACAAGAAACCTAAAAACAGGGAGATCTTAGTTTCAATAATGCCAATATTTCCATGCTCAGTTTCCTCCCTTGATTCAGTACAATTAGACATGAAAGCTAGAATGGTGTCTACAATTCTCTGTTGGGGGGAAAAGTGTTCTTTTCATGTATCTTCCATTAAGTTGATAGGGCTACTGTTAATCTTGTTCATTCATGGTCTTCTTTAGGTAATGAAATTGGCCCCCAACAAATATAGTTACACTCACTGGAATGTCACTTTGCCCTTTTTTGTTTTAACTTTTTTTCTTTTTAGGTTACGTATGGAGTCATGGCCTCTAATGCAAAGGTAAAGGGTACTTTGTGGTTATATATATATATATTTATGCATGCTGAGTCCTTATAAACATCTTTCAACTTAGTACACGTCAAAAAGAGAGTGAGGTAAAGATTATAAATTGAAGCAAACCTTTGCTGTTCATCAGTAACTACCTTTTAAACAACAGAAGCATCCTTATGTCTGAAATATTCTACATAGAATCCTTCACTAAAATCATCTTGTCTTGCATATCAAGTCTGAACTTCAAACAAATTCTTCAAACTAATTCTTGCTGGGTATATCAGAACAACAAGATCACTGTAGTCCAAGATATCTGCAGGGTACCAAATTAAGGCAGATGAATATTATATATATTTTCAGAAATGGAACATCTTAGCTATATATTTGAAAATTGATTTTGGGAAAATGACTATAATGTTTCTGCACATCATTTAACATTAGCTTATTATTTATTCCTGATTTTAGATGGAGAAAATACTAAGGAAACAACTTGTAATATACACCATGTATTTCCTTTTACTAGTAAGAAACTTGATTGAGAGACTTCATGTATGAAAATTAACAATGTTGCAACCTGGCCTGCTTGCTGATCTTCTGGATTCATAACATGGTCTCCTTGCCATCTCTGAATCATAACAGAATTAGCTCTTTCTTATTCACAAGCATAGATTAACCACAGGAATAGATTCTCTCTTTCTCCTCCCCCTCATCCATCCATCCATCCACCCACCCACCTACCTACCTATCTTCTATCATCTATCTATAATCTATCTTCTATCATATATTTATCTATTGTCCTTTGAATCAGTTAGGGTGACTTTGGGCCAATCACTCTTTCTCAGACCATGATATCAGGCTTGGGAGACAAGCTGTTGGTCAATACCCGTTGCAATTAATGGACTAACACTTGGTTGATTTGAAAAAAAAAACTAGACCATGCACTTGCAGTAAAATATGAAGAAGAAGAAAAAAATTGTTTCATCTATCTCATGGAAAGAAAACAATATATAAAAAGTGGTAAGAAAAATGTAAAAAAAACAAGTTTTATATAAAGGTTATGATATTTTAATAAAGGATACAGAAGTGTGAATCATCAGTCAGATGATGAGGATGATAAATGTGAAGCATTTGTGGATTCACTCAAATGTCTATAGAGATTCTCAGTCATCCAGGTCATGGATGCCCCAAAAGTTCTGCAATTAATAGCTGATCAGAAGGAATAATATGCTGTTATATAATCAGGCAACCAAGAAATATTTATTGCATATATAATACTATATAAAATGTTCCACGTTTCTTCCAACTGTATGGCATTTGTGAGTTTTGAGTTATAAGAGTAATTATGTGAAGGAAGAAATACACATTACCCAGATCCAAGGAGGAAAGCTTTGAACTAATAGGGATTTCATTGAAACATTGTACTGACTGAGATTATGCTTGACCAGGATAACTGGATGTCCTAGCTCTGGAGGAAAATCTCCTCTCTTTGATCCAATTGCAATTAATCTTAAGTGACAAGCTGGAGGTTTACCCATAGGCTATTGTTCGATGGCATCAACAAAAATAACTTGATCACAGTCTGTGGTCTATTTTATTTTTATATCATTTTGTTTTAATCAATGGATCTACAATCTGCTAGATCAGGGATCCCCAACCTTTTCGACGCCGCGGCCCGGTTCCGGCATTAGCTGGGCGCCGCGGCCCGGTACCGGCGTCAACTGGGCGCCGCTATCTTTTTATGACGAAAAGGCGCTTCCGGTGACATCACCGGAAGCGCTGTTTCGTCAAAAAAGATGGCGGCGCCCAGCAACCAGCGGCCCGGTAAGGCTTGTTCCGCGGCCCGGTACCGGTCCGCGGACCGGCGGTTGGGGACCCCTGTGCTAGATAACAGATAGAACTGCATTTACGCACACATGTGCACACACACACACACACAGTTTATATATGGGAGTGAGTGTGTATGTCTTGCATGGAACTTTGTGTAACTATGCATAAAACTCTACATTTTCTTAATTTAAATAATGTGTCAAGCAGCCATCCCATGCCAAATTATCCACTATGAGATTCATGAATCTGAAATATTTATTTTATCAGTAAGTCTTATCCTTGGGGGCGAAACATGTACAAACTATACATTATATAATTTGGGCCAATATTCTTTAAAAACTTTGTTATACACATTCTTTTTTTTTCTTTCTTTCTTTCCCAGCTGTAAACTTGTGGTCAGTCTTCACATGGACAAAAAGGAATTATTTTAATGGCCATTTTGGCTAATTTTGTTTTACTTAATTTTATAAGGTTTTCAGAAAACCTAAACTTTGAAGTCGGTAGGAAATGTTCCAGATACATTAACAATATAAGTACCTATAAATTACAAAAAGGCATGGTGTTTTGATTTCAATTGTTGGTACAAATGATTAAATAAAAATTTAACATAAATTAATCTTGGACTGGATCCCAAGAAAAGGCAGACACAATTGCATAAGAAAACTAGCATTCATGCAGAGTTTGGGAGTAGGTAGATTCAGAAGACTTTGCCATTTTAGGCTTATATTAAACCATGCAGGTCTTAGCTATTTTCATGTCAACTTACATCCATCTGTAGGAAACTTCCTGCTGCTACCTATGCTGCTGTACCAAGCATTTTCCTAGAAGACACAATTTCCAATACACCATACCAATATAAATAAATAAACAAGTTCCTCTTCATTTATATTGCAAATATTGACCAGAGAAACAACAAGTAGAGCTTGCAGTCATTGTAAATTGTTCCCTTCCATAGTTTCACAGCTGCATGGATTAGCAGGAAGCACTTGGATCTGCTATTCTTAGTAGTATACATCCCATATTTTTCTCCTAGTTAATTTTTTATAGAGATGCTTTTTTAAAAATTCTCAGTTCTAAAAGAGACTTAGTTAAATCCACAGTGTGCCAAGTGAGAATTATCTTGGTTCAATCAATCAGAAGAGAGCTGCAAGGGACTTGGAAGTCTTTTAGTTCAACCCCCTACCCAAGCAGGAGACCCTATACCATTCCCAACAGATGGCTGTCCAGTTTTTTCTTAAAAACTTCCAGTGATGAAACCCCTACAACTTCTGAAGGGAAACTGTTTCACTGGTTAATTGTCCTCACTGTTACAAGTTTCTCCCTAATTCTATGTTGATTCTTTCCTTAAGTAGTTTTTTTTAATCTTTTCTTTATGTCCCATTCTTCTGGGACAATCAGGAGATGCTATCATCTCTTGCCATTATGTCCAAGCAAGAATAAATGCTATCAGTAAGAGAAAAAGCTAGGAATGGGAATAAAATCCACCCCCCACCCCCCATTAAAGCAGGTCAGCCCCAGTAATACCTTCTGGCCTTATAGATACTGAAAGTTGAAGGGTATGTGAATCTCTTAAAGGTGGATACTAAAAGAAGTAGCTGCCAAATTGTGGGCAATAATGACAGTAGTTCACATATCTTTATGCAATTTCTATATCAATAATATGTTCCCAGTTCTAAACAGCACTAGAAACACCTTATATAGCAAAAACAATTGTAATGTCTTGGTTTACTCAGATGATTTTGCAGCAATTGTATCAACTGTTTATCAATTGCAATCTGAAAAATAGGTATTTCATGAATATTATGTTCTTTTTTTCATAGCTCCAAGTCAGCGCCCAGCAAACATTGTCTGGCGACTGACCAGTTCAAAAATATGCTTGAACTGGGACCATGTGAAAACAATGGAAAATGAGTCCGATGTCCTAGGCTACAAAGTAAGATTGTCATGAGACCTTGGTATATGTTACATGAGTAGTAGTAGTTTGAATTAACCAGGTCTCTATCTTTCTTGAGATCTATTTATTTATTTATTTTTTAAAAGGTTGTTTACTACATAAAACCATGTTGATATTTGGAGCATGTACTGTAAAATTTATGAAGTTACATAATAACGTTGGGCTAGTTTGTATTCCAGACACTTCAAGCAAATATTTTGTCAGTGCAAAAATCTATATCAAAGTGAGGACAAAGAAAACCAAGAGTATGAAATAATGAGACAAAAAGCTGCTGTTTCAAAATACAAATATTGTTCAGGAGTTTCTAGGCAGAGTACCTTTTCTCTTGTGCTGGAGCTACCCATGCTGGCTGAGACTTCTAGGAATTATAAAGAAGAAACCAAGCTCATGAAAGCTTGGATGCCAGAGGTTATGAGTGATCACAAACTGGGAACAGAAAAAGAAATATTCACTGGTTGTACCCTATTCCCAAAAGACAACAGACTTCAGGCATCCTGAGTTCATTTTGCTGACGATGCTTTATAATGGAAATGTATGCACCTAATTCCAACACCAATGCAACTACTTTGTGAGAATAAACTGTTCACACAATGTTGTGTACCTTGTTCTCATAATTAATTAGAGAAATCTAGTTTAAAAAGGGGGTGAAGTATCTTCTCTGCTGTGGTTGCTAATATCTGTACAGAAAATCACCTACAAACATATGAAAATATTATATCCCACCTTACTGCATCGAGCATAACAGGGTAGGCTTCTCAAATCTGAATATCCTTAAGATGTGTAGTCTAACTCTTAGAATTCTCTGGTTAGCATGACTATTGTTCAAAAAAAATATGGGACTTAGATTTTCACACTGTCAAAGCATGTCACAATTGAAGAAGGTTGTTGTATGCTGTTGCTCACATTAGCAAAATATGTTAATGAGCTAAATAGGTGACTAAATTGTGACACTTCCCAGATCACATATGGCTCTTATGAATTTGAATAAAACATAAAAATATCTCCATTGCTTAATAGAGAATTAGTCAGAATTTTTTTTATTTTGGCTTTCATTATTGGTATTTGTTTCCACTTATACACAAATATTGTACACCCCAAAAAAAGTGATTATTGGGGCACTGATTCACATTGTGATTCATGCACAACTGTAGGAGTAGGAAAATACCAGTCTAATGTAGAGAAAATTTCAAGAGTGAAAATAGGATGATGTGTAACAGTCACTGGGAAGAGAAAAAGTTTTCACTTACAAAGACAAAAAAGACAAACACTTCCAACATATTGTGCCTGGTGATTTGTGCCATGTTTATAGTGATGTCCAGAACACATTTTCAAAATGTGACAAATGTGCATGTACCTATAATGGTCCAAATACTGTACTATTATTACCTTCATATATTTGTCATGGCTTAGGATGCCAGTGCAAATAAATGTGCCAATATATGGCAGGCACCGTGAACATCTCCTTAAAGCAGTGGTGGGATTCAAATGTTTTTTTACTACTGGTTCTGTGGGTGTGGCTTGGTGGGCATGACAGGGGAAGGATACTGTAAAATCTGCAGTCAGAGGTGGGATTTGCCGGTTCTCCAAACTACTCAAAATTTCTGCTACTGGTTCTCCAGAACTGGTCAGAACCTGCTGAATACCACCTCGGCCTTACAGCCCCATTGAGTTCATACAGAGGACTTATAAGCAACAGGAACAGAGCATTTTTTTCCAGAATGAGCCTAGAGGGATCTTTGAAATTTGCTGTTTTTTTCATGAACTGAACATGAATTTTTATAAGTTTAAAAAATAAATATAAAATAAATGAGAAACCCTATATACCAGCTCTATCTTCTCTCCTTTTATATTTAGATTTTGTATAGGCAAAATCGACAAAGTACCACTCATATCTTAAAGACAAACTGTTAGGGATATACACCCTAGCAGAACGTGCAACGACAGTCTAGCAGGCAGGCAAATATGTGAGATAAACGTTGTTGTAGCTTACGCTCAGTAAGACAGATACACTGTGCCAGTTAAATAGTTTTTATTCCAGTCAGAGTTATAGCATAGTCAAACAGTCCATATATCATACACTAGTTCAGTCCATCTGGGTATTAATCAGTTGCAAAGTCCAGTGTCGAAAAAGAGGTCAGTAAACTTACAAACAATCAGTCCAGCGATATATCTCTTTTGCAGTTTGAGATATGAAGAAAATCAAACCTCTTTTCTTCTTTCAGCAAAAGCAGGGGAAAACACGCAGTTATCACCATCAATCCATCATTGTCAGCAATCCAGTAAAAACCAGCAAACAGTGAGCTCTCTTGCTCCCTCTTATGGTGATTTTACAACCGCACCCAAAATAACATGCTCTGCATTTAAAGTGACAAACGCTATCATACTCTCTATATATATTATTTTACCCAAACTAAGTTAGGTAACCATGTTATTCCTAACACAAACATTACATCCGCTGAACTGCTGGTACCTTTGGAAGATGATTACCTGATTGAAATAAAAACCGTAAGTGACGGAGGAGATGGAAGCAGCAGTGGAGATATTAGAATTCCAAACCACTCAAGTGAGTTATCTCCCCCCTGCTCCTCCATCCCTCTGTCCCTTCCTCCCAAATGATTGCTGTAGACCTTGAATGCTGGTAATGGACATTTTGGACGTATTCTATCTTAGTAAGACTGCATCTTAGAAGGCAGCTAAGTGAACATAGGGACTATGTCTTGGTTAGGAAAAGGAAAAGCATTTGATTTGTAAAAGCACATTTGGATTTCCTGAGTGGTTGGGCTGTAAAGCTCTGCAGTTTGCTGATGTAAATGAAACCTGCAGCTGTGTGGAAATTTGTACTGCACTGAAATCACTCTTTGGCACAATTGTCTTCATTATTTACTATTTTAGAACAGCTTAAAATATACCAACTGTGATAGACAGGTTAAACTGTGTAATATCCCTGCCTGCAGGCTCACAATCAGCTGAAAATGAAAGGCAAAAAGGGAAGGGGAAGGGAAGAAAGGACATTGCTAATCAAGGCCTTATATGAGTGTCTGCGTGCATTTACTACCATATAATGACATCTGTGGACTAAACTCCATTTAAAAGCATTTGTAAAGAACATTCTAAAGGGGCAACATATGATTTTTAGAAATCAAGAATTAGACTAGAGAGGGGGAAAAAGAGCAAGTGTGTGAGAGTAAGTGACTAGGAGAACTAATGTGTCATCCATGCTTTGAGCAGCGTACAAACTTTACTTCTAAATACTTCTTTACTTAATAATACAACCTGCAATTTGTTCCATTACATGGACCCACCATGGAAAGAAGCAGATTGGCCTCTGATATCAAAATCATCCACATCTGGGCATACAACAGCTATCTAATGGATGATCCAAGTGGGGCAGTATACAAAGATTGTATATAAATAAAGAATTGACTATAAATAAAGGTAAAATTGCTTGAAGATGAGAAGCCCAGATTGCACTGATGTCACAGTGTAATGTCATTTTATGAATGATATCTACATGTACAAAGCAGAAGTTTGTTCTGAATTTAATTTTAACATTTACTCAACATGATCCTGAACAAAAGCTACATATCTGATGGAGCTTTTATTCCAACATAATCCTGAACAAAAACTCCATATCTGATGGAGATATGGAGCAAGAGCAAGAGTAAGATAAGAACTACATTCATAAGAAAAGGTGTAAAATAAATGTTGAGAGTAAAAAATTCCATGCACAGGTATTAGTAATAAAAGACACTAAAGGATTATCAGAATTACTGTCTGATAAAGAGAACTACAAGAGCAGTCAAAAGAAAATAGGATAAAAAGAATGGCAGATCTAAAATTGAACATTTGATGTGTTTCCTTGTTATATGCAAGGTTTATTCAAGGGTTTCCAAGATGTAGAGAAAATGAAAGAGAATACTTGTAGCTCAGAATTGAAATGATGAGTCAAACATTAATGCTGATGGTGTTACTTAGCTTGAGTAATGAAATATCTGCAAGAAAACAACCAAGCTCAGAGAGGATCAAGATTTCCTCAGGTAGAGAAAACTCTGACACAATAGAACAACTTTTCTCCACCATTCAAGGATTCTCTCATGATAAGAACATATTCATTATATTTGATTATATTGTAATTCTCACGACTTTGTTTCATGTGCACCATACAGAGGCCTAGTGATTGGGGCAGTATACAGAGATTATATATAAATAAAGAATTGACTATAAATAAAGGTAAAATTGCTTGAAGATGAGACACCCAGACTGCACTGATGTCACAGTGTAATGTCATTTTATGAATGATATCTACATGTATAAAGCAGAAGTTTGTTCTGAATTTAATTTTAACATGTACTCAACATGATCCTAGAGCTAGTAGATTTGTGCTGCAAAGTGTGATAATTAAGTGTCAGCAAAAAAATTCAATCCAGTAGTCCTATTCAAATTTTGACAGGACGGGTTTCCTTTCAAACTTCATTGCCAACTGAACACACATGGATCATATTGGACTATTGAGCTTACGGTTGGATTGGAATTCATTCTCAATATTCTTTATTAAACTATAGCTTGGTCTCTAAATATAACTGTAGAGTTTTAATTTTTGACCAATGCTGCAAGAAATATAATGCCATAGTGCAGAGAATGGCACCAAAATACAAAACTCCTTGAAATAGTCACAACTGGTAGTTCTCTTGCCTAGATAAAGGGCAAAGGACTCCCTGCAGATTTTACTGTGCTAGTCGTTGCCAACTATAGCGGATGGGGTGGAGTGCTCATCTCCATTTCAAGGCCATTGAGCCGAAAACATTTCTGTGGCCATGTAGCCAGCATGATATCAAGGAGCACTGTTACCTTCCCACCACTATTTATCCACTTGCATTTGTATGCTTTTGAACTGCTGGGTTGGCAGGGGCAAGGACAGGAAACACCGCATTGCATGGCGCTCAGGTCTTGAACCTGGGCTACCAGTTTTTCAGCTGACAAGTCCACCATCTTAACCACTGAACCCCCATGCCACCCCTCTCTATAAAATCATAGCAAACAAATTCAGCCAAAACCCATGTCATTTAAATATATATTTATTGATTACTTTGAAACCAGGAACAATACTTCTACTTCATGAATTTCAACTGTCCCCACCCTCTCTCTCTCTTTTGAGGTTTAAGCTCCAAAGGAATGCATATCTGCCCTTCAGTTGGTGACATAATTGCAAATAAAATTATAATCCTGATTTATATATTCAGTTCTGCTGGATAAACAGCTGCTGGACATTTATGGACAAAACAATAAGGAACCAGAAATATTGGGCATTTCCCTTCACCCTCCATTATCAGTTTAATCTGTTGTCTCTGAAAGTAGAAGCTGTGAAGAAAGTATAATGATTTACCCTTTAAAACGTAAAAGTAATCTGGGCTGTACTCTTCTGCCTAGTTTCCTAGGAGAGTATGGGATCTTTTGAGTGGACATATGTAAGATCATATTGAAACTGAACAACAATATGTTTACAATCTGTCTTTTAATATATCTGTCTTTTAATATATCTGTGACTTTAATAGCAATTGTAAAAAAGTACACAGGATTGCATTGCAGTGTTTTGCTATATGTATCCTAAACATGCAAACTATTAAGAACCACCAATCTTGACCAATACAACAAAAGGTTCCAATTGTTTGTGATGTACAATATTATTAAAACCAGTCTGACCTAAATATGTATTGATTTTTCAAATTTAATAAAAAATATTTCTTTTTACCATTTCTCCTTTTTGTAGCAATATTTGGATCAGCAGGGGAAAAAACCATACAAGGGACATGAATTTTATTCCAAGGTTATAATTCAATTTAAAGAACAAACAATAATATTAGTGGGGAAAGTATTGTATGGAAAACTTTGAGACCGGACTATTAAATGTATGTTATCAAGAAATTTTAAAAAATCTTTGCACAAGAATAGAAACCTACATTTTTTAGAATATATAGAATTTATCTTTATCCTAAGATAAAGTCCATGCACTGATCAGGAAGTCACAATTTCAAACCAATATGGTAAGACTTACTTGCTCCAGATTGGTAAAGAGATGAGAAAAGTATGTACACTCTTTTTATTCCAATTATTTCCTAAATATATATTGAGGGAAGCTAAATTGGAAATTGAGTGTGGTTTTAAAACATAAGGAATTTCAACAACCTATGCTATGTGAATGACACTGAGAGTAGAAAATGCAAAGGATCTGCCAAGTCTCTTAATAAAAGTCAAGGAACAAAATGGAAAAAAAAATATGGGACTAAAATTAAAAATTGAGAAAAGTAAACTAATGACAAGTGGTATGACAACTAACCTTGGAATTGGCAATGAAGATATTAAAGAAACAGTTGTGAAGAAATATACCATAGGCCTTGAAAAAAATATTCAGATGCAATGTTTTTTTTTCCATATCTACAAAGATCAGAATCCTGCAGGCAATAGTTTTCTCTGTGGTATGAGAAGCTGAACTTGGAAGAAGTAGGATAGAAAAAGTATTGACGCTTTTGAGCTTTGATGCTGGAGAAAACTCATGAGAATACCATGGAGAGCCAAGACAACAAAGTAATTTCTTGATCAATCAAATCAACTCAAAGTTCTTGCTCAAGGTACAGTTGACCAGGTTTAAATTATACTTTAAACACATTGTGAAAAGACAAAGCTCTCTGAGAAGGTTCTAATGCTGAAAGAGAGCAGCCAACAGCAAGGTAGATGGACATAATTACAATAGTAATTTAGTGTTGTTAATGCGTGAAGGACCATATTGAGAATAGATCATCCAGTAGAAATGTGGTCTCTAAGAGTTGACATGGATTTGATGACACATCATCATAACTATAATTAAATTGTAATTAGTTTAGTTACTGGAACCCCTACTGTATCCATTTCAATAAAACTTGTTAAAGAAATTTTCTGATATTTGTGCTTGGGGGAAAAACTTACTTTCAATTTTGATAGCTGTCATAGAGTCTGACCATATTCTTATTTATCTATGTCTGTATTTATTAGTTATACGTGTATACCCCTGAATCTGGAGCAGCTCACAGCAGATTATAAAAGTCATGAGGCAAAACAGAGGCAGTGTTAAAACAATGCAACAAAAGAGACTATAAACCCTCCAAAAAATGTTTACTTTATGTATGAAAGAATCACTGAGAGCAATTTTTATCACTTTAGCCCCTGCAGCTATTGAAACAAGCTTCTTTTAAAACACTGACTTATCTTCTTATCAACAGCACATGTCGACAACAAGAAAGCTGCAGAATTGTAGATGATTGCTTTGGATGCACATAAATGGCTTATTTTTCTTAAAACTATTGTATGGATTTCTAGGAGCATCTAAGCCACAAAGACTTTTTTAAAAATCTGAAGTATAACTATCTCACAAGATTGGAAGAAATTATGATGATTTAGGGAAGAAACTAAAATAAAATTACTGGACTATGAAAAGAATTATGCCTGTACTTAAGTGATTTATGTTTACACCTGCCCATCTTGTGACCAGATGTGGCTAACAATAGTAAAACTAAATGCAAAATAATTAAAAACAACTGCAGGAACAAACAGTATACAGAGTGGCAAGGATCCAAATATATCCTTTCCATCATGCAGACAGACACATGACTAACCCACAAAGCTCATCCAGCCACTTTGCCTCAGTGGAAGGTGAGAAATATAAAGTTTTTAATGTCTTATAGAAGGCAGGGACATTGGCAGGATATGGATAAAAAAGTCAAGATGGTGGCTGTGACAATCAAAGTCACACCCATTTTTAGGTCCATCACCATAACCCCACTCTTCAGACACTCCTGATGGAAAAAGGGCTATGACAAATAAATATATCATCCAGAATTACCATGTGGCAAGATGGGCAGCTAATACATTTTGCAAATAAATAAATAAAATAAATAAATGTCATTAGCAAAATGTTGCACTGTGAAAACTTCTAGAGCAGGGGGTGTCCAACCTTTCACCTTCCCTGGGCCACATTAGAAGATGAAAATTTGGTTTGGGCCGCACATAATTAAATTAAATTAAATTAAATTAAATTAAATTAAATTAAATTAAA